ATTGGAGGTTGGACAATTGGACAGTTTGGATTGCAGATTGTGATCATTCGAGTTCAAGAAAAGCAAAGAAGTTTGTGAAATTCATCAAAGATATAATTCTTATCACAATTTCTATCAAACACAATGCAGATTCTTGGTGAGAATTAAAAATTATTTTATTTTTCATTATGCGTGATTAAGCAAATTCCCAACATTTAACTGATGTTTCCTTGGGACTCCTTTCTAGTGAAAACTTGAGAGGCAGGATGGGCACACGATTGGCATTGGAAAGATGTAGAGAAGTAGGGGCATAGAACTGACATGCACCTACCTTAATTTATTTTCATCTATATTTGGACAAGAATTCAACATTTGTTGACTGAAAAATGGAGAATATGCCAACAAAAATATTGACAAAGATGAAAATTTAACAGAGAAAACATAAATAATTGTTGTATGACCTACATATTGTGGCACTATTTTGTCAATTCCTTTTGTCTTAATTTATTTCTGTTTGCTTGGTTTTGTTTTGTTAAAGGGGTTCTGGTGAGTGGGTTTGTGTGTCTGTGGGCGTTGGTTGGGGTGGGGAGAGGGGGAAGCATTGTCAACTCATCTTCCAAAATTAACAAAGCAATAAAAAAAAAAGTCCAATTAAGTGGCGATGACCTTTTGGCTTTTTAGCATAATGGAGTATTTGAAAATTGTTATGGATTAAATGCTTAATTTTATACTATCACGCAAAATAATAACATAAATGATAAAATTGAAAGCAAATAAAGAAAATACGATTTAGAGAGGTTCACTCTCATTATGAAAGCTACATCTACGTATCACATCTGGATTTCACTATAATTGAACAGAAGAAATATATAATTTGTTTTTGAACTCACATATTATCTTTTTCTTTCTACAAAGAAAAAACTTTACATAGTGAACTACCTAATGTACCCTTACAAAATCAACTCGGCTGATTTTTTATGTACAAGAAGCAAAATCCTATTTAAATTATTAAAACTGCAAATTTATTGTTCAAATAATTGTCACAAGAAAGTAGGGAGCAGTCTATATTTACCCCTTTCCACAAATTTCTTCAATTGAATACTTCTACTTGTTTGAAGACATGCTTGAAATTGCACAACACAAACCAAATATTTCAAGAGATACACGTTGCATTAGACAGTGGATATCAAGATATGCCAAAACAATAAGTGCCCAACTTTGAATCTTGACATCAAACTTTTATTTTCCACTTAATAAAATTCCATTTCAAAACCACCCCCAAAAATAAACATTCTTGAAAAAGCATGAAAAAGGAAGAAATCAATG